GAGAGAGAGAGAGAGAGAGAAAGAGTTACAGAGAGAGACAGACAGAGAGAGAGGGAGGGAGAGAGATAGAGAGAGAGACAGGGGGGGGAGAGAGAGACAGACAGAGAGAGGGAGAGAGAGAGAGAAAGAGAGAGAGAAAGAAAGAGAGAGGGAAAGAGAGAAGGAAAGAAAGAAAGAGATACAGATAGAGAGAGAGACAGGGGGGAGGATGTGTTTGTGTGTGTGTGTGTGTGTGTGTGTGTTTATCTGTGTTAAATTAAAAAAACAGAAGGAAACTGAGGAATAAAAAGAAAATGGCAAATACAGAATGGAATGCTGGGCGTCATAGAGAGAAAAGTAAGAAAGTTTTGAAAAAAAATAAAAAAAATATATAAATGCAAAGCCAGGATGGTCTAAAAGAGGACAATTATTGCAGACCATGATGGAGAGAAAATAAAGAAAGAAGAACACACTACGAGTGATGGAGAGAAAAGAATGCACACACAAAAAACCCCACAAGACTTGAAGGACGTTTCGGACCAAAGGAGAAAAATAATAAGTTGGTTTAGTTTAGTAGAGGTTTTTCGGCGCTCGCAACTGCATAATAAGGTCATATGAGCGCCAGAAAATTAGAGGTATTACAAGAAAGTAACAAACATAAAGAAAGATGGAGGGGAGATAAGGACGATAGATGTTTGATGGAAAAGAAGAAGCAAACCACACCAGAGCACTTGCCAACCACCCACAAAAATATTAAAGGAAGCCTAAAAATGAAAGGGGGGGGAAAAAGAAGCATGAAAAAAAAAGAAAGAGAAAGAAACGAAGCTTAAAAAGAAGAGAGTAGATGAAGAAAAGAAGCATGAAAGAAAGAAAGAAAGAAGGTTGAACAAAAGAAAGAAAGAGGAAGAATATATGTATACTAAAAGAAAGAACAAAGAAGAAAAGAGTGTGTAAAGGAAAGACTGGGAAAAGAAGCATGAAAAAAAAAGGGAGAGAGGATAGAAACACCAAAGAAAGAAAGAGGGAGAACAGAAGCATAAAAGAAAGAATGAGGGAGAACGGAAGAACGAAAGAAAGAAAGAGGAAGAACAGAAGCATAAAAGAAAGAAAGAGGGAGAACAGAAGCATAAAAGAAAGAAAGAGGAAGAACAGAAGCATAAAAGAAAGAAAGAAAGAGGAAGAACAGAAGCATAAAAGAAAGAAAGAGGGAGAACAGAAGCATAAGAGAAAGAAAGAGGGAGAACAGAAGCATAAAAGAAAGAAAGAGGGAGAACAGAAGCATAAAAGAAAGAAAGAGGAAGAACAGAAGCATAAAAGAAAGAAAGAAAGAGGAAGAACAGAAGCATAAAAGAAAGAAAGAGGGAGAACAGAAGCATAAGAGAAAGAAAGAGGGAGAACAGAAGCATAAAAGAAAGAAAGAGGGAGAACAGAAGCATAAAAGAAAGAAAAAGAAAGAACAGAAGCATAAAAGAAAGAAAGAAAGAAAGAGGAAGAACAGAAGAATAAAAGAAAGAAAGAAAGAGGAAGAACAGAAGAATAAAAGAAAGAAAGAAAGAAAGAGGAAGAACAGAAGAATAAAAGAAAGAAAGA